GGTTGGGCTGTGTTAATTGGCAGATATTGAATGCCGAGGAGGAGTTAAAGAGACGAAGTAGTATGCAAGTGGTTGTGATGCGTGCTCCTTCAGTTCCACTTCAAGGGGATGCAACAAATGATACTGGTTCCATGACCAGGCACATGGTCCCAAGGTTGGGATCAGAGGGAAATCTTGTTGGTGATGTTGATGGTGGTGAAGGGGATGAGTTTGCTAATAACAATACTATGCATTCTCGCCATATGCTTCGGCCAAGTAGCATGTCACCTTCTTCAGAGTCCCCTCTTCGGAGGACCCCCAGCATTCAACAGAATGTGGTAATGTATATGATTATTACTGTGAGTTCATGTTTCGTTGAATGTTGATGTGTTTTGGTTTGTTTAACTGTCATCTGTTTTTTTTGGTTGAGATTCAGATGTATGATCAGGGTTGTTGGCATGAATTTGTGAATATATAAGTTGTTGGGTGCATGTAGGAGGGACAAGTATGGCAGGATAGTCAGAGTTATGTTTGTTTAGATATCTAATAATGGTAGAAATAAAGTTACGATTCCATTGTTTGGGTGTTTTATGATAAAATGCTCCATTCATTTAATTTTAAACTATCTAAACAATAGAACCAAATACCATTCCATTCCATTTCACCTCATTTCATCATTCTAAAATAGCCTAACTTATAACTATAACTAAATCCAAATTACTCACTTCCTAATGTGAAATGCTGAGCACCTCATTTAGCCCCATTAAGTTGCAGACTTGGCTCCGGAAAGGGTTGAATTAAGTATCAAAATATGTTGAATTTGTATATATTGGATTTTACAGAGGCTAAATTGAATTTATTGTCGGTCATGTTTACTCTGTTGTCTCATTGTCTGACACTTTGATTGTTACGATTCTATAAACTAACTTATATGTGTAGAGTATGAACATGCTGTGTCATTGTCTAGGCTGCATTCATGTAACTCAGCTTTACGTTATCTGTTTAATTTTCTCTTGTTTTGTAGTTAGTTACCAAGTCTAACAATAACTACCTTAATGCATATAAACATGCCTTTATGCAAATGGTATAGATTATACTTATTGAACATACGAGTACAGAGTAAAGGCAGGCTAGAGGGAAGAAGAGCCCATTAATATAATATTACCTTTGAGTTTCCCTGTTTTCTCATCATATATATATATATGATATATATTGATGCCTAGTTGTTATCTTTTCCATGAAGATTTCACATCCTTCTCGAGCAAATTTGGGAGCTGCAGGTAGTCCATCACGCTTTGCTCTCTCAGGTCATCAGGGAAATCCCATGAACCTGCCTTCAGTATCTGTGTCGGGAACTAGTTACATTGCATCATCCCCTTCCCCAGCAGCATCTGGTGGCACTTCTGTTTTCCGAGATGCTCGGCAGCCAAGTCCATGGAAGTAGAAGCTTTCTTTTTTGCTTTGACAATATTGGTGATCTGTTATCATTCTCAATTTCTAAACTCTGGTTTGGTTGTATATAATTTTCTGAATGAGCAATGCTAGGAAGTCGTCTGTCTGTGTATGGAGAAATCTATTAATTTGTTGCGTCTTACACTTGAGGGAAAAATCTTGAAGGGGCTGTCTATCATGAGCTATAGCGCCAGATTCTCTATCTTGTTGTTTTCTTGAGCAGGATTTCCAGTTATAATGTACTTACCCTTTAAAAACATTGAAACGTGAATTTTTGACTTGTCAGCAGGTTTAAGCTATTAGAAACATTGCTGAAATATCCAGAGTTGTACCTTTATATACGTCTTCATTCAGACATTGTTCTTAGCATCTGAGCACGTGTGTTCTCTTATATCTTTTGGACCTCTGTCAACAAATGATTGGGATTAGTTATATTGGATCTGTCAAGCCCGTTTATGATTTCATCAAATGTGCAGCAAATTGAGTTACCCTTGTTGGGTTTTCTCTAACGGATACAGGTTACGTAATTGAATCGTTAGCTATGTAAAATCTGAGGTGATTTGTAGAAATAAAAGGTAATATTCATAGTGTGTTATTGGTTGTACTCCAAAAAGAAAGTTATCATACATCTTCATTCACAATGAAATGGGCTTAGTGCAAAACCTCAGTCTACCTAATGTTATCATTTATTCAAGCAGTGTATAAAATAATTTCATTTTAACATGATGTCACAACCTCATAATGCTTTAATGCAAATGAAAATGGGAAATATTTATGATAAGCAAATTTACCTAACCCTAAACCTTAGAAATCCCATAAAATTATTAGTTATTATTATACCCTTTAATGCTGTTCTAGATCAGAATTTAGATCTGGGTCTAGTTACCTGCTACATGAGGCCCAAATTCACACTTACGTGGACCGCTAGAGTTTTAACCCTCTCTCCTGCAAAGATCTCGGGATTGTTCAAATATCACAAATTTGGTGTCAAACTCTACAAGTATATTTGATAATAAAAAAATAGTTAATTTAAAATTTATTTAATTAACCTATGAGTTCATTATCCTAAAAGAAATGTTAGTAAATGAATTTATTTCACTAACTTATGATTTTTTTTCCATATGTTATATATTCCAAATATTGCGAGTTTATAACCTATTATCGTCTTTTTTCGTTTTTACTCTTACTATAATATAATTCTTCATTTACTATTTCCTAGAGTATTATACTACTTATTTTAAGCACAACAAAGCTTATAAGCTCAGACATTTTATAAAAAAAAAAACTTATCAGCTCATTGCACTTAAATATAACACGTTCATTGTCTTTTACTTATTTTCTCATTATAATAAACAAATACAAAAAAATTCTTTGTCATATAATTTAACGATACTGAAGATTAAAGCCAACAAATTCTTTCTACTACCCAATTATCCATGGTAGTTAGCGTAATAATGCTAACAAAAGTAGAGATAAATAATATAATGAGACACCTACTTGGAAGAATAGCAGATATGAGATATGTATACAACAGGACATTAATAAGTAAAAAATGACAAATTTAAAAAATATTATAATATACTAAGTGAAAAAGAGTCGCTATGCGCCACCATATTTATTTAAAAATAAAAACAAAATAAAAATTAAAGTATACGTGAAAGTATATTGAACAATATCAGAATGTGGGTAGTTTACGTTTCGAAACTAAAATGTAAAAACTGTTTTTGTCTTTCCACGAACAAAATATCCTTTAATTGATAGATATTACATTGAAAAGAAAATAAGAAATTGCAGAAAGTGAGATTGTAAGAAAGAGTTATTTCCATAAACAAAATACGTGTTGTCTCGTTAAATGTAAAATCATAAAGAGACATATTGACTTTAATGTTGCGATAAACAAGTCTACGCTATACATGAGAGTTTAAAAAAAAAAAATTGTTTTTCATTCTAAGTATATTGTGTGGCAGGTTAAATATAAGAGCTCCAATAGAAACCTTTTGTCTAATTGCTTTTGATGCTAAGTGTTAAGGTTAAATATAGTGCTTGATCTTAATGTCTATGTTTTAATTTCGATGATGTTTGATGCGTAGTGTTAGTGGTGTGCCGCAAAACATGGGAGCTCCGAAGAGCAATCCTTGTTTGCTATTGCTTTAGGGTTAAGTGCAACACCCCCCACCCCCCAAACAAACTTTTAGTGCTTGATCTTAATGTCTATGTTTTTGTTTTGAAGATGTTTGAACAATATGATTTGATATAAAATGGAATATATGATATGTTATGGATGAAGATAAAACCATATGATATGACATGGTATGTTATGTTGGGACGATGTGTCAATTGCATATCCTCTTAGTCCACTTTCAAAATGTTTTGACTTAGTACTACAATGGTGCAAAAAATAGATACAGATCAAACTTTAAAAATTGGTTACCACATGACTAATTTTAAAAACACGCCGTGACAATTTTGTAATTACACAATCTATTTTTAAAATTGGTTGACATCTGGCCAATTTTAAATATCCCACAAATTTTTAAAATTAGGTACTCCCATAAACATACTTTTTGCTCAATCCATGTTGCCCATTCTCTCAACCAAGCCCTCTCACCCAACCATCTTGCACCACATTGCCACCATCACATTCCATGCCCTCGTGCCATCCACACTATCATATTTGTCAATATTTGTTGTATTATGTCTTTTTTGTCGCATTTGCGTTTGTCATGTTCATTGTGCCGACACTGCTGTGGGCTTCTACGCACCTTGGTGCGACCACTTGCAGGTCCTCGTGCTCAAGTAAGTTGTTGTCGCCATCGAGCTCAAGCCTAAAGATATTGTTTTTGCCAAGGTTGATGCTACCATCAAGAACGAATTTTGGTTCACGAATACAACATTCGGGGTTTCCCTAACATATTTTTGAGTTCATGAGTTTGGGATTCACAATTAGTTTCACATTATATTTTTTTAAGTTTGTCTCCTTGCCATTTTGTTTATGTTAACATTGTTGCATAATTTTGGTGCAATTTTTGCTAAAGCAAAAGAAAGTGTTAAAATTTTGGCATATAAGATAAGAGTATAACTACAAACATCATGCGAGATTATCTCCTAAAATCACACAACACTATTAGTCCACTTATATATGGGAAACAAGTACCATTCTATCCTAATTTGATTTCTAGCCTAAATTTTCCTTTAACTTGAGCGTCATATTGTCTTTGTAGGTGCCCCATCACCACAAATATTGGAGCAACACAGACATCTTCTCATCGTTGGAGCACATGCAGGGTTCGATAAGAACAAGAAACAAGAGCTATTGATAATAACTACTAGATTAAAATAGACAACCCAAATTAAAAAGTTATAAACAAAACTACCACGTACTCCCACCATTATAGTTATCTATATTATAATCGTCATCACAATTGTCATCATTACCAATGTTGCTACCATCATCGCTTCCACCACCATCATCATTGTGACCACCACCTCAACCACTATAATTATTGCCGCCACCATTACCAATACTACATCGCCATAGTTTCCACAACCCTTGCCACCATTGTTACCCTTGTCACCATTATTAATAGCGATGGTGGCAACAACAACAATAATAATGGTAGCAAAAGCAGCATCAACGACAATGGTGTTGTTGTTGGTGGTTATAAATATTTTTGTATAAACATATTTCGTTAGAACTTTTCTTATAGTGAGAAATGAGAATTATAAAGTTAGGTTATACAACTATAGAAGATTAAAAGTTAGTATTTTATAATTATACAACTACTTAAAAAGGTCATGTATATTTTTTCTTTTAATTTTAATTATTTAAACATTATCTAAGATATTATAATTATCATTTTTAGTGAGAGAGGTACTGCATGTTTCTATTATTTAAAAAATATAATAATAATAATAATAATAATAATAATAATAATAAAATATGGGTGATTAGGCAAAGATTTAGGAGAAGTAAAAAAATAAAAAATAAAAAAGATAGTGGAAAGAGGGATATTAAAAAAGAGTGATTTTAAAATGATTTTAAAGATAAAATAGTAAAAAAAAATTGTATAAGTGAAAATATACTATTATCTTTATATATTGTTATAGATTTAAATTGTTTGTGTTAAATAAATTTTATAAAAATTGAAAATAAATAGTAATATAACTAAATATTTTTTATTTTCATATTTTTTTAGAAGTATACATAATGTTGATTCTGATATGCATTAAATAACTTTAGATTAAAATGTATATAGAATATATAAAATAAAAATGGTCGGATAAAAAATTATTAAATAAGGTATTCTTTTAATTCATATTAGATAATTAAGAATACTAAACTCTTAGACAAGTATAAATTTAATCTCTGAATCTAAATAAATAGAGAAACTGAGTAAAAAAGATTGTTAGTATTATTTTTTTTAATGATCGGAAGGTATATCTCTTATGTGTTTAGTCCATATAAAAATGAAGTGATACTTGTTATTGTAATTTCATATTTAAAATGACAGTGAAACTTTGATTTTTAATTAAAGATTATAAGTGTTTTATATGGAGTGATACTTGTTATTGTAATTTCATATTTAAAATGAGAGTCAAACTTTGATTTTTAATTAAAGATTATAAGTGTCATAATGTTAAGAATGATGAACTTCTTCGAAAACACTTAGGATAGAAAATTAAAAATAAAATAAAATAAACTTTATTATAAATTAAAATTAGTTTATGTATAAATTAATTTATAAAAGTTGTTTCCATAACTCAATTAACTTGTACAAAATCTTATTTTTAACTTATGCATAAGTCTCTTCATAAACTAAAAATAAGACTTTATCTTATAGAAAAAATTATTAAATTTTTTTTTCCACATAGATGTTCAGGGCAGATCTACGTTAAATAGAGTGGGGCACTTGCCCCCACTACTATTATATATATATATAAATTATCTTATATATAAAATATAAATTTAGATAAGGTGTTTATTTATTTGATATTTGTCAAATTTTCGAAAGAGATTAGTTTTCATATGTGATAAAAAATACTCCTTAATAATGAATTAATTTTTAAAAATTTTAATTATAATATATATATATATATTAATGCTCACATATATAATATAATATATTAAAAAATTATTTTTTGATAAAATAAAATTTGCTGCATATATGATTACCTTTTATGCTTTCAATTTATTATATATGTTGATTAAAAAGATCAAAATAATAAAGATAGTGAGATTGTATATGTTGATTAAAAAAATTAAATTAGAAATGATTAGAAAATTTATGTTCTATTTAGAATTTTTATTATAAAATATGTTTTAAAATAAATTATCACCTAAAAATTTATATCATATATTAAAAACATGTTTATATCATAAATAAATCAAACTTGATTTTTATAAGATTTAACATATTTATTTTTATGTTTTTATTAGTGAAATTATTATAAAGTAGGTCTTTA